ACAGCATTTATTTAAAAAAGAAATCTTCTGTAACATTACATATGTTTTTCCTGTCCATTTTTGATCAATTTAATGCTTCCTTGCTGAATAAATGTATTAATTTCTTTCCAAAAATATTTTTTTTTACTGACCTCAAGGCTAGTGTATATTTATAGTAGTTGCATTCAAAATAGGCTTTCTTCCGAATACAAACAATTATGAACAAAGAAACAGATGCTGATATTGTTATTCTACTAATGGACACATGGGGGTGACTCAACATATTTAAGACTTTCACTCATGGTAGATTCCAAATTAAGTGATCCATTTACTGGAAGCAATGATGCCTTAAATCAACGCTAATTTTAATGACGGATTTAGCTGCTAGGAAATTTTCACAATGATCACAATGAGGGAAAGTACCTCAACGCCAACAAACAACAAAAAATTGTGCCTAAAATACCCTATTTTCAGATATTTCAGGAACATACAATGTAGAACATCTGTACTTCAGATTGAATATGGAGCAGATGTGCACAGAAACCAAACAAGATAATTAACCTTTAATGTCGCTCAAAAAAAAACAAAACTTTTTTTTTTTACAACATTTTGAACATTTTAAACATTTTAGAAACTCATCTACCTAAAAGTCTTAGTGTAACCATGCATATTTTGGATACCAATTTCCTATATTTCCTATGGGTTCATATGAATTACTTGGTTTCAAATACAATTCAGAACAAAATAAAGACAATTAAGAAACGATACATGTAGAAATGCCACCGGTAGCTTTAACAGTATGGTAACATAACAGGGTATAATCAACAATGTATAAAACATAACTTAATTATAAACATGGCTTGTAAAACAATGAAATCTCAATATATTTGAGTAACTCATAAAGTCCCGAGGTTGATGTCCTGCTTGTAAATGTTTTTAAAAATACCACAGGTGCTTTAGCGATCACAGTCCAAGCAGTTTTTCTGCCTGCTCGCGCAGTTTGTACTTCTGGATCTGAGAGAGATGAAGAAAAGAAACAGTTGTAGTGCTATTGAAGGGTTCAAGCTGTCCACAGCAAACCACAAGCCTTTAAAAGCAAAGGTGACACAGTAGACCTCGAATGTCTGAAACCACTTCAGAGGGTTTCATGCAGACGGGGAAATTGCTTGAATTTCTTCTGTCTAGAAACTAATGTGAATCCACCCAGGAAAACACCATTTGAACATTTTCTTCATATTTAACATGATGTACCCACCAAGATACAGAGAGGAGTGGTGACAAAGTAAAGAGAGATTCATTCAGAACATGACTTCCTCTGGACTAAATGAATCATCGGAATTGTTTATTTTTTATTATTATTTCATTATCACGGGTACAGCAACTTTCATATTGTCTCATATCACTTACCTTGCCTGTGACAGTCAGAGGATATCCCTGAACAAACGTTACATAGCGTGGCACCTTGTAATGGGCAAGCTGCGAAAAACAACAGAAGTATTTAAATGGCAGCTGCATACTGTACATGTGATGGTGAACCAATGAAACCATTGTTATTTAAGTATCTTTGAGATACTATTAAAGCTTTTATAAATATATATATTTGTTTTTTGTCAAGCTAGTAGTAATTTTTTTTTCGTTTGTATTAGTTTCTTTTATGATATTTATGAATTTTACTTCAGTTTTAGTTATTTTAGTAAGTCAAGTTGAACTTAATGAAAGTGAAAGTAAGGAAAATGTTTTTATGGTTTTAGTTTACTATAATAACCCTGGATGACACAGATATTCTGACCTTTCCTTTGCAGTAGGCCTTGATCTCTTCTGCAGTGCATTCCTGACCAGCCTTGAGCCTAATGCAAGCACAAACTTCCTCACCCATTCTCTCATCCTTCACTCCAACCACCTGTTTGGAAAACACAGAGAGAACATGCTTTTCTACACTGCAAAAATGATTTTCTTTCCTCAGGATTTTGTCTTGTTTTCGAGTGAAAATGACATTTTATCAGAATGAAGTGACTTCATGCTTAAAACAAGAAAAAATGTGTCCATGGGGTAAAAAAAAATCTATTTTTTTCTTACCTCAATTTTATTTTCTTACCTCATTAGCAGATATTTTTTCGTGGTTTACTTAATTTTGATACATTTTTCAGAAAACAAGTATTAATATCTCTCATTTTGCTTCTCAAGCAAATCTATCTAGATGTAAGAATGTTTAGATATTTATACCAGAAAACATTTAAAAAATAAGAGGAAGAAAATCATTTTTTGCAGTGTAGACCATATTTCTATCTTTAACATAAATTGGAATTTAAAGGAATATTTGATGAAAATGATCAAACAGCTACAGGTAAATAAATAGTTGATGAGAATTATCAAGTGCTAAAGGTACACAAATGTCTCTGGTTAACATTGTTTACCTGTGCTTCTTGAATTTGAGGGTGTGTGTGCAGAAACTGTTCGATTTCAGCAGGGTAGATGTTTTCTCCTCCTCGGATGATCAAGTCCTTGATGCGACCATCTATTTTGCAGTATCCGTACCCGTCCAAACTGGCAATGTCACTGTATCAGATCACAGTCATTGAGGACTGTTTGCAATGAATCCTGAATATTAACCATGTTTATATCAAGTAAGAGAGGAAAAAATTCCAATGCACTTACCCAGTCTTGTACCAGCAATCTTTTGTGATGCACTCCTGGGTCTTTTCATCATCTTTCCAGTATTCCAGCATCACGCAGTATCCCCTGATCATCAGCTCTCCCTGAGCACCCAGAGGCACGATCTCTCCTGTAGTAGGGTTCACTACTTTTGCCTAATGGAGAAACAACCATTCAGTGTGCTACAACTGACTATAAATATGCACGCAGAACATCTTTATCTAGTATTGTGTACTAAATGAACCTCAGTGTGGGGGCAAATACATCCAGCAGTCTCTGTCTTTCGCTCAATGCTGTCAATTGGAAAGCCGCAGAATGTGACAGGGCTGTTTTCGGTTGTGCCGTACGCAATCTGTTCCAAAAGAGATTGAAGCTCTTCACCAGATAGCACAAATAAACATTCAAACTTCGTGCCTAATTCATCATTTTGTGAGAATGTCTAGAACCTACACTGGGGTAAAAATAACACTAATGAAAATGCTTCAATTTAGCATTTTTAAAACACATTATATATACATATATATATACACAATATAAATATTTTTTTAATAATGTATTATTTTATTATTATGTTTTACTAAATTGTTACAATTTATTTAAAAATATTTATAATAAAAATAATGAATTGATAATTTAAAGGGGTCATATGATGTTGCTAAAAAGAACATTATTTTGTGTATTTGGTGTAATGAAATGTGTTTATGCGGTTTAAGGAAAAAAAAAAACATTATTTTCCACATACTGTACATTATTGTTTTTCCTCTATGCCCCGCCTTTCTGAAACACGTCGATTTTTACAAAGCTCATCGGTCTGAAAAGCAAGGT